GTGGAGATGGGCTTACAATGTAGCATACCTGCCCTGTCGAGAATGTCATGAGCAAACTGCGTCTGATGCAAGAAAAGGTTTCCTTCTTTGGTACGCTGAACGCTGATGCCAAGGAAAAAATTAAGCTCCCCCATGTCAGTCATGGCAAACTCACCCTTCAGACGTGCTGTAATTTGAGATAAAAGCACAGTGCTCGAAGCCGTAAGAACTATGTCATCCACATATAAGAGTAAGTACGCCTTGTGTGACCCGTGTGTGTAGACAAATAAGGATGTGTCTGTTTTGCAACTCTGAAACCCAATGTGCCGAAGGAAACCAGCAAAGCGAAGATACCAGGAGCGAGGAGCCTGCTTTAAACCATACAAAGCCTTCTTCAGTTTGCAAACGTGATAAGGGCGAGAGGTATCCTCGAAACCAGAAGGCTACCGGGCATAAACAGTTTCCTGTAGGTGGCCATGAAGGAAAGCATTCTTGACATCCAGCTGGTGTATGGGCCAGCCCTTAGAGAGGGCAAGACTGAGGACAATACGGATGGTGGCCGGTTTGATGACCGGGCTGAACGTTTCGCTGTAGTCGATGCCAAAACGCTGGTTGAACCCTCGGACAACCCAACGAGCTTTGTACCTAGACAGATCCCCTGTGGGGCCAAATTTATGTCGAAAAAGCCATTTTCTAGATATGACATTTTGGGTGGGGGAGGGGGGTACTAATTCCCATGTGTTATTCTTGATCAACGCATTAAATTCATCACACATTGCATCATACCAGTTTGGATCTTTGAGTGCGCTACGGTAGGTGGGGGGTAGCGGGGAGATTGAAGCTGTGGTGTTGAGGTTTATATATTCACTTTGAGTGCGCTACCATGAAGAATTATGTATTTCCAATTATCACTTTACAATATATTCACCTCCCCTTATATACATGTAGGAGGGTTAAGAATAAGGAAGCTGACATTAATGAGAGATCCTATACAATATGGAATCTACCATAAATAATAATAATATTAAATATGTAATATAACTTGACATATTTAACACTAGTCCTCCCTTTCAAAAACATGACATTTGATTTGGGAAATCTGGCAAGCTGTGTGTAAGTGGGCGAATGGTGCTGAGTGTGCTCCAAAGTCCAAACAAAAGAATAGTACTCTCTCTGTTCCATATTAGTGTTACACTGTCAAACTACACCTTTTTTCCTTACATACTTATACTGATCATTTAATAGAATAAAATAATCTAAGTGACATCTTCTTTTGTAGAATTTTTGATGTAGTTTTTAAAAAACATAAATTTTCTTCTTTATTCTACACCAACTTTTAAATAAATTAAATTGAGAATAGCTTCAGTTAAACATCACAAACCATGTGAGGAACACTATATAGTAATGAGAGGGAGTATATATTTGGAATCTCATTTCCCCAAATGTTGTCCTTCACATTTATTATCATTATTATTAGTAAGATGTTGACATTGTGAGGTGATTCTACAAGGAGAATGTACGATCAGATTTTGAATCAGAGTTTACATTCTCTTTGTATGTTCAGAAGATTAAGATTATATGATCATTTACGCTTCTTAAAGTGCTTTTTTAATTTCTAGTGGCGAAAGCCCCTGTGTCTTTAAGGGGTTAAGAGAGTTACTTTTACTTTTCCTTCTAGGAAGAGGATGAAAGAGAAGAATGAGGACGGAGGTTTGTGTGGAATTTGTGGGGAGTCTAGGAAGTGTGAGTGAGCTTCTAATTGGGAAATGCTTGTTCACAGTTGGCTCTATTGGGGCCATGGCTTTCGCTTATGGATTTTCCAACTTCACTGCTTTCTGGTAGGCTTTGTTTTATGTTTGACTGATCAAACATCCCTTTTTTGGTCGATGAAAACCTATCTCTCTCTATTCTTTTCATTCCAAAGTGAACCAGCCTAGATTCATGGGAACACAACAAAAACAACAACAAACCCAGTCAAATCCCAAGAAAGTGGGGTCTGGGGAGGGTGTGAGTGCACAGACCTTGCCCCTATTAGCCACTTGACAGTAGAGATAGATGTTTCCAAGAGGACCCAGATTCCCAGGAATATGCGGCGTTATTGATATTGTAGGTTTCCCTTTGTCCAAAATAGAGTTTCACTTATGGTTTATGATTGAAGTTATTCTCATTTCTATTTATTTGAAAATTGGTGTGTACTTTTAAAAAAAATGTATATATTTGAAAATCCCATTAAGAGGAGGCTTGCCTATTTTATTTTATCAAATGATCAATGAAATATACAATGAAAAAAGATATGGTTTGACCATGTGATTAGTAAAGCGGAACATTATTTTTTGACGGAGGGAGTATAATTTATCATTAATCAAACATGTGTGACTATTGATCAATCACTCAAAAGCTTAATTTAGTAAGATGTGAGAAGTGTGAGAGGAAAGAATATGACTGTGTTAGGAAAGAATTTCAGCATTTATTACTAATTTTTGAAAAAGTAATCTAACGTTAGCGTTTGTCTTTACCATTTAATAAAGTTAATCTATATCTTTAAGTTTTCCCAAAACAATAGCACTAATATTTGAAAATATTTTCAAATAAATTCTAGACCTAGACCTTCTTCATTTAAAAATTTTGCAAGAAATCGTTAATTATAACAATTCAGTTTTGTTTACGCTCTAACAAGCCTCCACACGGCTGGACGAAATTTGTATATGCTCGAGTCTTGCATGTGAATATTAATTTATTTTTTAATTGGGTGGTGGTGAGATTTGAACTTGTGAAATCTAGGTCAGCAAAACTTTTTTTCACGTTAATGAACCAATTCAACTAAAAGTTTAAGCTTGTAATATTGAATACTTTAACAAATGTTATCTTT